CTGATTCTGACAGTTCATTAAGAGCATCCTAAGGTGAAATATATTGGCCCAGCAAAGTAGAAAAAGTATAAAGTGACCTCTTTAACTCATTCCTTAGAAATTAAGTTCCCTTTAATGCACTGTATCCTTTTTGATGAGCAGGATGTTGCAGGATATGTATATACACAGGGATACATCAGCTGGGATTAAGTTATATGAAGTTCTAGGCAGTCGTTCAACAGCAAAGCAGCACATGGAGCAGAAAGAAGCAAATTCCCATTTATGTTTGTGTTTTCCTTCAATTCACAGTAACCATTTACGACAGGAATCAGGAGTTTCTATGACTCACAGCCATTTCCATGTGACTGCTGGTTCCACAAATCCAAATCACACACACACGAATCTGTGAGATAGAGCAGATGCAGTGTGGGCCTGGCAACATATCTTGTCTGAAGAACCCACAAAAGTTTGACTTGAAGGACATTCCTCTTTCTTTCAGATAGCCCTTCATGTACTGAACTGATAGCAGCTGGTGCCACCACTCTCCCTTTGGAGGCCAGCAGGAGGTAAGGATCAATAGATCAGTTGTGGGACACATATTGAGAAAGTAAGAAAATTACAGCCTGAAAAATATTCCAGGCTGGAGCTTTTCAGCTCTGTTCCCAGCTGATAAGCTGGTCCAGCTCAAGGCTAGGGAGAATTTCTCCCAGGGTGATAATTTGGTCAAAATAAAAAAGAATTAATAACAAAATAGAACACCTGTTGTGGTGTGTGACCAGGCCCTGGGAATGGGGTGTCCTCTCTGAACCAATCACCTTTTCTCTACTCTTGGAGTTGCGAGTCATGCTATAAAACCGAGTGTGTTTCTGAATAAACTTGTCTCTTTCTTCCTGCCATGAAATATGACCATGTAGCTGTGCATCTTATTTCCGCTGGGTTAAAACCCCATTCCACGGCTACATTCAGTATTTTTAGAGAACTACAAACTTTGGTATTCTGCTGAGCAGTGACTCTGCCTTAGGTCTGCTGAGCCTCCTCAAGCCCCTCAGCAGCCACCTGAGCTTGCACAGTGCAGCAAGGACAGGGGGCTGCAAAGCAGGAAACCTGCACTCCTAGGTGGGTTTGATCTTTCCTGTCTTTTGGCTTCTGCCAAAAATCCAAACGTTTCTAAAACTATATAAGAAGATTGAATTTTCCAGTGGAGATAGAATATTTACCTGCAGCATGAAAACACCAAAGCCAAGTCCTTGTTCTTGACCAGAATGATCAGACAATTGAAATTGTCCCCTACAGCACAGAAAAAAAGCCTGAAAGTTTGTTTACTTGGATTTTATGGAGGGAAAAAACAAAGGGGTCTTTTCTCTTCTTCTTTCCTTCTTCATTCTTCCCTCTTCAAACACATATTTTGACCTACCCTTGTCTCTTTATAAACACCCTCACACATCAAACAACTCTTCAAAACACAAGTCGTCTCACTTTGTTCCTCTGGACACTTTTCATTTTTATGAATCAGTATTTTCTAATAAAAAAACAGATTCTTATTTTGTTCCCAAACACCTGCTCAAAAATATACTTATCTTTTGACTGCAGAATAACTTAACAATAAAGTTTGAGATACAATTCCCCTTTCCACAGCTACAAAAAAGCCTGTAAAGACTGTAGCAAAATTTATAGCTTATGATTTCTAGGCCAGTTCTGTTATTAACAGTCTCAATTTCCTCTCCTTAAACATATTAACACAAACTGTTCTTTTGGCTGGAAAGGGAGTGAAGAACAGAGCAAGCTGTGGCATTTCATTCACATCATCCTGTTTCTGTGCCAAAAGCCTACCTTTTCTCTCCTGCACCAAATGCAATGAGCTCAGAATAGATGAATACATGTTAGAGGAGAAAAAGCTCTGGATTTTTTACTTCGCTTTTGGTATACTTTCAGAGCCTTTCTTGAACGGACTTCTGGATTCATTAACATTTCCAAAGATTATTTATTGGCATCAATTTCAGGCAGAACACAAAAAAGAAAAATGACCTCTGCTTTTCAATTAGGGGATGGAGGAGAGAGAAATAAATTTTTCTTAGAAATATTTCCAGGGCACAGTTTGCCTTGCTTATGGAGACAGCTGAGAAAGTTCTCACTTTGTTTGAACTGATGTGTTTGTGAAAGTCTTATTTCTCCTCCCACCTCTTTTTTTCTTCTGCAGTGTCCAGTCTTGAAAACAAACTGACAGATGTGCTCTTGGATCAGCTTGTGAGACTTGCAATGTCAGGAGTACAAACAGACTTTTGCTGTTTAGTTCAGGAAATGAGATGCAGACAATCTGATAAATAAACAGTGTTTATTACTCCAGTTTAAAGTGTGCTTTGGATTTCTTTTCAAGATACTCCTACGAGGAACTGAGGATGAATATTAAACATGTGCTCCTAATTTAGAGACCTCAATGGCAAGGTCAGAGGGTCTTTAACTTAAACAATTCGTATAGTTAGGTTATAACTGCAGTGAGTGTTTCTGATCTTTAACTATACTAAAGAAACAACAAGAAATATGAATTACACAGAAATTCACTCCAAAGAAACTTACAAGACTTCTGAATACACCAAGATGAATTAGAATAATAGGATTTAACACTGTGTGTGAATTCGAATGCTTTGTGACTTTGACTAAGGGACACATAGACATTTAAAGAGATGGCACACAATTATCCAGTATGGATTGGGACAAGACAGAGTGAAAAATACTCTTCTACTCAAGCACTTAAGTATGCATTTTAATGGTTATGGGCTCATAGATTTAGATTTAGATATCATTCAAATGGCACTTCCCTTATCAGCAGCATCTAGATCCCCAGAACAGCACTAAAGCATCATTTAACTTTTAATTCTGTGTAATGTCATGTGCCACCCTATTTCTCTGTCATGGCTATGTAACCTACACAGCACAGAAGAGCCCAGCATCCATAGTTCCCATGACACTTATGCTGCCAGGCACAAATAGGGATAGGGACCTGCCCTGCATGTATGCCAAGAGATGCAAACAAGCAAGCACAAAAGGACAATTAACTTCATAAAAAGGCAACAAGAATTTCTTTCCTATTGTGCGAAAGAAAAGAGGAAAGTTCAGAATGCTGTAGGTGAGTTTTGGAGCTAACTCTTGATATTCTGTTAAGGACATGGTGGCAGCATGCTCTGCTGTCCTTTGGGACTTGCAAAAAAATTTGGCCCTCAAGAGAGAAAACAGAGACCCACTGAGTCACCAGTAACATTTGCTGCATTGCTTTGGATTTGTCTTGGGGCACCTCCCTTCCCTTCCAGTTCTGCAGTAAAGCATCATTTCCATCAGACAGAGGTGATTCAGATCCCATGAAACATTCATTTTTCCAAGTCATGGAGAACTGTTACTGAATGAGTTATTTAAACAGCCTTTAGTGCTACATTTGAATTCTGAATGAATTCAAATTCTAGTGAAAGGTGTTCAACAAGTGTCATTGAGCCAAGAAACTTTACTCACTGTTCCCAAGAGGAACACACCCAATACTTGTTGTGAGTTTCATTTTTATTCCTAACCTTACTCTCTGCATCACTCTCTTTTTTTGGAATAATAAGTTTTGGGGGGAAAAGTATCCCATACTATACTTATACTTATCTGAGAGAAGTAATTTCATCTGTTATATTTTGGCTACAAGACATCAGTTAGCAGAAAATACCTTTGAGATGTATTCATTTAATCCTAAATGAATAAAATGTAGACTGATAAGTTAATTATGAAAGAATCTGTGAAACTCCTTACACCCATCCTATTTGCCAAACTCTCTCCAGTTGAGGTGGCTGTATTTACCTGTTGATATTTACCCTGTTTTCTTGTATTGTGTTTGAGGTCTCCAAGGGTGACTGCAGAGATAACAACAGGAATCCAACAGAACTATGAAATAGTCTGTAGTCCAACTCTACTAACAGGAGTACCTATTTTGTATTTACTATATACTACTTTGTAATTTGAAACATTTTTCCCAACCTCTTCCTTGTAACTGTCATTGTAAATACCAAAGATATTCACCTTACCTACACAGTGCCCTTGTTTCCTTCTGATCCATGTTTCAGGCCAAACACTTTTCACTTTTATTAATCTATTTCCTTCAAGGGCAAGTTTATATCAAAACACTGACATTTTTCATATTTTAGATATTGCACTATAAAATCATTTAGGCGAACCTTACCTTTTCAAAGTGTGGCAAAATGTGTGCTACAGCAAAATCTTACCGTTTTCTATCACAAGACATGCCATATCTTTAGCTATGATGTGTATCTTTTTTTTATCATAAGTGAGACTGCTGCTGCTTGGAAAATCCAGGCTTGGACCAACTCCACCCCTGTAACAGAAGGAACAACAGAACACTAACTCACCAACTGTAATGGGGGATTCTGGCTGCTGCCTCCTGCATTCAAGAGGTCCTTAATTAAAACAAAGTATGGTGATTTCAACCCTTTAGCCTGATGCAACTCAGTAAATTGTGCCTAATTAAACCTAGTTCACAGGATCCCATCAGAAGGCCTGAGGTTGTACCTTGCAGGACTCACATGAAAAAGAAGGAAAGAGGAACTGCAGGCTGAAGACAAGGTTGGATATATGCAGCAAGTAAAACTTCCAAAGTTTTGTACAGTCTCTGGGTGAGCTATGTCAGAGGTTCTTTTTCTGAAGTCGGCTTAACTTTTTTGATAGCCAACTCAACCCATATTTGGATTACTTCATTTGAAAGCTATGTTTACTAAAAGTTGTGATTACCTTAGAGCAAAAGTGAGTATTTTCTTGATAAAAATAACATGCATGGACAAGATTTACTCTGCATGTTATGAAGACTGTGGAGTGACTAGTTGACACAGCTCGACAGACGCTCTCCTTCACCTGACAGTCTTGCTGAATACATTGTGATTAATAATAGATTTTAAAACCCCCAAACCTCAAATATTAAGGCTTTGGCAATACTTCCAACTACTATTACAGAGAAGCTGCCAAATCTTTTGTTGAAGCAAATGACGGTGGGGAGCCCAGTAGATCCCCTTTGGCAGTTGGAAAGTGTCTCGCACAATGTGCCACGATGCCGTGCAGAAAGAGCGGCTGCAAGAACTATGTTCAGCTACTTGTTTCTCTGCTCCGACACCTGCAAAGAGAGATTTGTGTCTGAGAGTGTGTTTAACTTTACAACGCAGACCAAACTAAAAGAAGCCAAACTTCGATTACTCTTCGTTGGCAGCGGCGACAAACGCCTTATTAACGCTGACATTAAAGACATGAGGGAAGTCAAAGCGGCCGCCGGCTTTCTGTCCCGGCACTCACAGAGGTCACAAGCGCTCACATCCAATATATACACATTTTTTATGCCACGTCGCGCCCCCACAGCCCCCGTATCCCGCGGATGGGGAGACATCCTCAGCCTCACGCCGGGGCTCTTCCCTCTCGGGGCGATGATTTCCCAGCACACGGGCGGCTCTGCCCCGCAGCGCCCAGATGAGGGGAGGGGACCCTCCCTGCTCTGTCTGTCCGTCTGTCTGTCCCGCCCGGGGTGGAGCCTGCCCGCCCGAGGCTGCCGGTGCTGCTGGGGGCGGCGGGCCCGTCCCACATAAAACCCGGCCGCGCTGCCGGCGCCTTCCCACTGCGTCCCGCTCCGCCTGCCCCCGGCGCTCCTGCCATGGCTCGGCGCCTCAGCCCGGCCAGCTGAGCCCCGGGAGCCGCCGCGTCCTGCGGGGACCGCGCCGGCCGTGACTCCGCGGCCCTGCCCTCCGGCCTGCTCTGCTGCCCTCCGGCCTGCTCTGCTGCCCTCTGCCCGCAGAAGTGCTGCCCGGGGCAGAAGGCACTGTCCTGCCCGAGTGTGCATAAAGCCCGCCTTCCCTTTCCCTCGCTGCGATCGCACCTTCCCGCCTCCTGCCCCGGGCGGGCTCGCACGCCGCGCTCCGCCGCCGCTGTCCCCGCCGAGGATGCGGGTGTCGCTGCTGAGCCCGCTGCTCCTGCTGTCCCTCAGCGCCGGCCCGCACGCCGCGGAGCTCTCGCTCGGCCGCGCCAAGTGCCCGGCTCGCTGCGATGTCTCCAAGTGCCCCAGCCCCAGCTGCCCCAGCGGGTACGTCCCCGACCGCTGCGGCTGCTGCCTCATCTGCGCCGCGGGCGAGGGGGACTCCTGCGGCCGCAAGGAGGACCCGCCCTGCGGGGACAGCCTCGACTGCCGCTACCCCATGGGCAAGCGCTTCGCCAAGGGCGTCTGCCAGTGCAAGCTCAGCGCCCAGGTGTGCGGCAGCGACGGGCGGACCTACGACAACATCTGCCAGCTGAAGGCGGTGAGCCGCAAGGCGCTGCAGCACGGGCTGCCCGCCGTCGCCCAGGTCCAGAAGGGAGCCTGTGAATCGGGTAGGAGCATGGTGGGACCTGCAGCGGGGCGGGGAGTGGGAGATCTGGCTTCCAGGGTGAAGAAAGTAATGATTTTTAGTGGTCTGGGAAGACTGAGTGGCTCTAGGGGCTCTAAAACCTGCAAGGACATGGCACCTCACCCAGCTAATGACACCGGTGGTGTGCGGAGTGGATGCTCAGGTGCTTTCTGAGCAGCAAAACTTCTCAGTGCTCAGTGTGGGCTTTGGGAGGTTTCCCCCCGGCTGCATGGCTGAGGTGCAGGTTGAGGTGCAGGTTGCTGCCCCAGCGCTCCTGGGGCAGGAGGCGGACGCCCTTGCCGGGTGGGAGCGAGGTGGGCGGAGGTCGCTCGGCTGCCAGGGCAGGGCAGCGGCCACGTCCTCAGCTGTGGCCTTTTCTGGGGGCAGGGCAGCGGTACGAGCCTGGTGCCGTCCTGCCTGTGCCACCTCCGCTCTGCACATCGGCAGGGAGGGCCCGGTGCCGGGCGGCATCACCGTGCAGCGCTCACAGCAGCACAAACAGAACAGGAGAACACCTGAGCTCCGGGACCGGGCCGAGGGGAGTTTGGGTGTTAATCACATTCTCCCGACAGGTGATGAATTCCAGACGAATCAGGAAATGGCTCTAAAAGCCTGTCAGGTCAGAAAAAGCACTGAGTATTAGGTAAACCACCTAAAACATAGTCTTTTGCTTGGTTTGCTTTCTTCCCCAAAGGGTTTTTTAGTCTTGTAGAGCCCTAAGTAGGGACAAAAAAGCCTGAGAACCTCCTTTATAGTGTAAAATGTTGATACTCGGGTTATCAAATGGTCTTCTGGTTGTAGCAAAGTGTTGAGGCCTTTGCTCAGATGCTGTGATATGCTATGACAATTTCAGGCTTGGTGATTTAACTTTGGGAAGTTTAGTAGTCTCTTAAGCTAGTAATTTCCTATTAGTATTAAAATGTCTATGGAAGTGTTAATGCTGGAAGTATCTTTCCACATACTTACTGATACATTATTTTAAGGGTTTGCTTCTGCTATATTTCCCATAGAGTTCCTGGAAAGAGAAGTGGAGTTTTAAAGCATGCATTAGTGTTTCTGTTATGTCAGGTGAACCACTAACCATCCTGTTTATTCATAGCAAACATGGCCAAAATGATTGGGAGAGTTCAGAAGGAAAAGGGCTACCGTTGCAGCCTTTCTGTGAAAAGAGGATCTTTCATATATATCCTGATCTTTGGAAAGGGCAAACCAGTTCAGAGTGGGAGGATATTCCAATTATATTGGAGTTCCTTTCACAGTATCTTGTCAGTGCCAAGAATTGTTCCAGATGCCAGCCTGAAGCTGCAATGTTCAATCTCTCCAGTATTTTGTATTTATAAATTGCTTTTTGCCTGTACCTTTTCACGTCAGCATCTGTTAAGTTTAGTACTCCTAAGACTTGGTTGAAAATGATCCACATGAAATAATCAAAATATTTAACCAAAATGAGTGAACTGGCCTACATCTGAGAGTTTGCTGAGTGCTTAGCATTTGGTATATATGACATTCTCTTTATGGAATCCTCCTGAATCTAATGTTAATAGGCTTAGGAATTTGGAGCTGTGAGGCAGAGGAGTTTTGGTTTTTTTTCAAGCAACTATTTGAGTGTTCACTTTATTTTGGCTTTATTTTTTTTATCTCAGAAAACCTCAGCTTAGATGAAGCATGTGGTTCTCTCTTAAGATTTAATTTTTTTTATTCAGTTCTACAGCTGCACAAACTGAAGCTCAAAGAAACTGAGTGTCTTGCCCAAGGTCAGACTGAGTTGGTGGTTGAGCCAGGAATAGAACTCAATTATGGTATTTTTTTTTGTTAGTTTTGTTTTTTTTAAACAATAACATGCAATGGCTGTAATGAGAGGCTTGGAAGAAAGTTGACAGTTTAAAATTGCTGTCAAATTTCTCTTTCTCCTTTTCTTGCCTGGCCTCAGATGACTCAGAGTTTGAAGGGATAAGCTCATTATGAAGTAAATGCGGTTTTACTTAACCATTCCTATATTAAAACAATCTCAGATAACAGAAGCCTCACATAATGCGACTTGGGCCTTATTTAAAACATGCACAGACCCAGAGTCACTCCTGAAATGTCTATTCCTCTCCTTTTTCAGTTGCTTATGTTGATGCTGAGTTGGATTCTGGCTATGATAAACCCAGACAGGCTGAGAAACTTAACCATGGTTTCCTAGTGACAGCAATCTGGTGAAGAGGGATGCATGAAACATGGATAGTAAAGGATCCAGGAAGGGAGGAATGAGGTGGCCATGGTTACTGAGTACTAATTGAAAAATTGTCTGAACTTAGAGTGTTTTCATCCTTGTTGAAGTCCTGGATTAGGTTGAAGAGTACCATGCCAAATTGCAAGTTCTACACACAACATGCTAAACTTGATGTGTACTGCATGGAGGTCCAGGAGCTGATATCATCTATTACTGATGCTCTTATGATATGCCAGTGCCCAGGGGCTTCTCAGGGATACTAATAGGAGCAGTCTGCAGAAATCTTGAGCAAAGTTAAACTCCCTGCTACAAATACTGGCTTTTTAAAAAACTTTTTCAACACGAGATATCTATATATATGGGAACATATTGTGAAGCAGCTAGGTTTTTTTTCTGCCTTCTGTCACCTACTGTGATAAAGACAAGCTATTACAAGCTATCATGTAAGTAATTGAAGAAATACTTATGGAGGACAACCTCTGTAATCAAAGATCTGTTCTTACAGAGCCCTGTTTCTCAGGGCAGCAGGTGTAAGTTTTAGCAATGCCGTGTATCAATCTGCTAAGATGTCAAACATTTCACTCAAAGGATTCACTTGGTCAGCTGCAATCTACAGTCAATCTAATTGTCTCTTGAACAAAGGACTGGTTTTGGTCTCTCAGTACAACTTAATGCAGTTAAATTCCCTACAAGGTTATTTTGCGAATAACTTCTGTGAAGAGAGTTTAAATGTCAAAAGATTTGTATTTTCTCACCTCAGATATGGAAGCAATTTTTTTTTTTTAAATACAGGTTCTCTTTTGTCAATGGAACAAGGAAAATTAAAAGCTTGATTAGAAAACCTTTAAGGCTGGACTTGACACTCACCATTTACTGTCCTCTGCATTGTTAACCTGAGGTCACTCTCAGGGGTCATGATGTTAAGACTTGCCCAAGACAGTCAGGTCTTTGCAAGATATTTAGGCAAGAGACTAAAAGTTCATTTTCCTAAGAGAATGTTTGAAACAGTTCATGCATAAGCAGGGTCATTGCACACAGTTCTTTGTGGGGTGTTTGGAGTGTGCCTGTACATAACCTTGAAGATACAGAGGAACAACTGAGTGAATGATTACTTGCATTTCTGAGAAGTTGGCCCAGTAAGGGATAGAATTCTCCTGCTGGTGTTTTTGTCATCAAAGCCTTAAAGCTGCCTGCAGCTGTATTTAGGGAAATGTACTGCAAGGTATTAGCTGGAAACACAAACTTTGGTCACTTTCCTGTACTGGTTGTTTTCCTCATGCCTGAGTTGGTTTGAGTTTCTGCAGATGAGGATGGTAGTGTACAGTATTTGGTGTACAATTCAGAGTAGAGGACTTCACTGCTTTGTAAAGGATAGGAAAGGATATTCTTATTGCATCTCCTCATGAGGGCTGCTTGGAAGGGAGGAATACTAAGCATGTAAAGCCAGTGTGGTGTCTGTGCTAGAAGGCTTGTGCCAGTCTGTCTCTGTCTGACCCTTGTGATTTCTGAATTGCACAAGAAAGCCACTTTGGTGTTGGTTCACCAAATTGTTTTCATCTGTGCACGGTAGACATCCATTGTATAAACAAGTTGCCTGAACCATAATGTGGCATTAAACTCACCAAGGCTTTATGGTCAGTGCACAGCTATGCAACTTGATCTTAATGCTGAATTCATCAGAAAAGCTGCCCATGAACCTATGTTTCCAGCAGATGTTTCTGTTTTTTAAGCAGAGACATTATAATCTTTTATTTGTCTTTCATTTCTTTCCATGAAAGCACAGTAGGGACAGTGTTTATCCCTGGTGATCAGATCTGCCAGGTTGCAGTCCTCCCTTAGACATAATAATTTTGCTGAATGCACAGATCTTTTCTGAAGCTGGTTTTAAAAGGGGGGTGGGGAAACAGCCTTAAAAGAATGAGTTTCCCAGGCTCACAAATTCTTAATGAATATAAAATTGTGGATATTAATACAATGTATTGTCTTTAAGAAAGCAATGAATGTGATTTGATTTAATTCTACAGGGACTAAACTGGCAGATATTCAGAAATGTTCAGTCTTTTGCAAATGTAAATTGGTCTGGTTTTATTGTCTTCAGTGGGATTATAATGATTATTTCTGCTGAAGTTTTTTTCAGTTCTCTTCATACAAGGTTAACTCTACGGATTTGTTGGCGTTGTTCCTGGTTTACAGCAGTGTTAATGAGATTGGAATGGGTCTATTGTCTCTGCAAGAAAGTAAATAAACCACTATTAAATGAACCCATAGCCTGTAGATAACATCACTGTCCAGGAAAAATCTTAAACTGATAATAAGGCTACTCCTACCTGAAAGACACTTAGCTTTAGCCATTTGAATTCAGCCTAGTTGGAGCCCATAAAATTAGAAACATAAGATCACATTTTGGAGAATAGGCTGAAATTCTTCAGCTCCAGTTTATGCACTTATATTAAAATCTGGATTTTGGGTGTTCTGCGAGAGGAGTTGGAGACCTGAAGATCTAATCACTTAGTTGAAATGACAGGCTCAAACTTCAAGGCTGCTGAAAATGTATTTGATTTGTGGCTATGGAGTAGATTGGGGAAATCTAGGTTTTTTGACTAAGAAATGCATTGACAGCTTAGGACTCATACAGCATAAATTTGGTTTTGTTTCAAATACAACCTGGTTACAGCACCTTTGAACTCTTGGTTATGCAACAGATGGCTAACTGGATTAAATTATGTCTTTTTGCCAAGATAAATTAGATTTTGTTAGTGTGAGATGATTTTGAACACTCATTAATAACATGGAAAATAATGCATATTATTGAGACACCTTTGAAGAACTATGTGGCAAATCTCAGGGGGTCAATGGGTAAAAATCCACAAAGGTGCTGTGAACTCGGAGCTCTTACATGCTCAGGGCAGCAGAGATCTGAGGGCTGTGGGGGGTTCCACAAGGCAGCAGGACTGTGAAGGGAGGAGATACATATTTAATTTTCTCTTTTAGTAAGGACAGTAGCAGAAGCTACTGTCTACCAACTAATGCAAATTAAAGGGTAGATTCTACCTTTACAGTTACAACACTTGTATTCAGGGTGAAATTATACAATATACACACAATGTTGGATGGTGCTTCCTTCTTCAGCTTCTCAGGCTTCAGTTCTTCCCCTTTGAAGTATATTGAGAACTTCTGGTGAAAATCATCAGTTTAATAATTATGTATTAAAATGCTGTTAATAATAACCAACACTTCAGTTCCCTTAAATAGTGCTGTATGTGTGGGTATAAATGTGAGTGCAGTTACAATCTTCCACGTCCATAGTTTGAGTTTCTGGCACATCATATAATGTGTTTAAAGGTTCTCATCACTGCCAGGTTGCAGAAAATGATTCAAGAAAGATCAGGTTCTATGAAGGCATCTCAGCTTTGTAAGTCAGTTTTTACCAGTGTTTGGTCCCTACCACAAGAGGAAAAACAGCTCATCTCTGATCAGCCCAGAACTTCAGGCCTGCCTTTCATACGAAGCCTGGGTGTCTGTTATTCTTGATCCGCCTTTGTTTCAGATTTCCCTTTAATATTGGTGTAGATTTGGGTTTTCTTTCAGATTTGAGCATTCTTGTCTTCTAACCCCAGCAGGGAGGTTCCGGGCTTTTGCTCAGACAGAGAAATGTTTTCACTGTGGTGTGAGAAGAGGACAACCATTGTTTCAGTTTTAGTCTCCTCTCTGTATTGCTGCATTTTATTTTCTTCACCTTTTGTCATGTTTCATCCACTACCTCTTTCAGATACTTTCTATCTGCCTCCATCAAATCCCACCTGGAAAGTCACTGCCACCCATGATGTTTGCCTGGTGGCTATTCGGGAGTGGTCCAGACCTGAGGTTTTTGGCAGGCATCTTCCTGTGCTTTTGGCCATGTACAGTGTATCCATTTGGCCTGAGCAGAACAGTTGAGCACTTAGAAGATGCAAATGGCTTTAGTTGCTCTGACTCACACAGAGCTATGCTGATTTACACCAACTGAAAGGCTGCATTCATCCCCAGTTTTCCCCCAGTTCTGTGCTAGTTCATCAGCTGCCAGCTGATGCATGGTCATGTCTATTAAGATCAATGTGATGGCAATGTTATATCCTGTCAGTGAACACTTGCTGTGTAGGCAAGTGTTCAAAGTCATGTGAGTAGACTTCAAAGGATATACTGCATAATCAGGCAAGCTGCCTGGGAACTGAAGGTAAGATAACTCTTCAGTGGCCTAGTAAGCAAAATAAATAACAGTATATTGTGCTTGCATTTGGCTGTCCTCTGAGATTCCTGTTTGTGGTGTCTCTTTTAAACTAAGCACTGAAACAAGTACATTCAATTGGCTGGAGGGATTTTTCAGAGCACATGAGAATGTACATAGAAATAATAGACTGAATCTAGTCCTGCCAGGATGTTCCTTTTGTTTATTTGGTATCACATAAATCTAGCTTGCTAAATTTAGGCAGGTTTTCATTTCATTCAGAAGTAAATCCCATGTGCACTAAAAGGATAAAGAACTTGCAGGCTTCTGTGAAGAAATTCCTAATCTTCTTGGTCTGGTTTCTTCGAGTCATTTGGTCCCTTTGGTAGATCTCATAGCTAATTTTAAAGTTTCAGGCTGTGAACATGAAAGATTGCTATTTGAGTGTGGTGATACTTTCCCTATCAAATCAGCTCTTGCATGTGTGGTGATATGGCTTTGTGTATCAGGGACTGCAGAGAATGATATTTAGCACAAGCAGTGATATCTATTCCTCTGAGATGTTGTGATGCTAGAATCCAGGATGCTGTAGGCTCTCCCCCCCTCTCCTTAAGATCTTAATTTCATACCATTTTACCCACTCATTAATGAGGGGTGTGTATAGTGCTGTTTAATGTAGTACCATACTGGCTTTTGTCAGACATTTTAGTAATCTATTTCTAGGCCCAGCTGCATGTGACAGCTTAAATGTAAATTTGCAAAAAGTCTTAGGTGCAAATGTAATTTAAAGCAAGTTTCTAATGTGTCTACTTAAAAAATTAGAACTTAAGTTCTAATTGTGGCTCCCAAATTCTGCAGCTGTGTTATGCTGCACTCATTAGACCACATCTGGAATACTGCATTCAGTTTTGGATCCCTCAGTACAAGAAAGGCATCGATAAACTGGAGTGAGTTCAGAAGGACATGAAGATGGCTGGGGGGAACGGGACATATCTCCTGTGAGGAGAAACTGAGAGTCTGGGCTTCTTCAGCCTGGGGAAGACAAAGCTTCAGGAGGACCTGAGAGCAGCCTGCCTGTGCACCAGATCAATACAGAGGTGTACAATGGAAGGATGAGAGACAAGGGCATGAGGTGGAGCATGAGCTCAAGTTCAGACTTGATGTAAGAAAAACTTATACATCATGGGGGACAGTGAAGCAGTGGGACAGGTTTCCCAGGCAGTTTTTGGAGTGTCCATCCTTGGAGTTTTGCAAGTTCCAACTCTGTTTCCCTTTGTAGCTGATGCAGCTTTGAGCAGGAGGTAGAACTAGAGATCTCCTAAGGTTCTTTCCAGACTGGCCTGTCTTACGACCTTATGTCTTGGATAAGAACAAGTAGTTGTCCTCAGAAAAATGCTCAAGACAGAGTTTGTAGACTTCCAAAGAAAAGAATTTAGAGCTAAGTGATACTGATGTTTAATTTTCTCAGGATCATGCAGAATGCTAGGTAAGTTTTGAACAATCTTAATGACTTTGATTCCTTTTCTGGTTGTTTGGTAACTGTTCTTATGGGAGAAACAGACCTATTTAAGGCAGGTTCATCTTGCCTACTTGATAAAAAAATTTCTTGTCTTATTAACATATCCAATTCTTTCTGCTAGTATAGGTCACCTACAGTCCAGCAGCCCAAGATACAAATTCAACTTCATAGCTGATGTGGTAGAAAAGATTGCACCTGCAGTTGTGCACATTGAACTTTTCCTCAGGTAACGCTCTCAATTCTTTGTTTTAGTTACATTGTTTAACAAAGATCTACAATGTAGTTACTTTCCTTTTGAATTTTTTACATTCACAAAATATTCTAAAACATTAACCCATTTCTCCAGAGTATCTCACATTTGTGTGTTTTATTCCTGTTCAGTAGGTCTGTTCTAATGGGCTTATAGTATTATACAATATATACTGTCTACCCTAAAACAAATCTATCTTATCTTTGGAAGTCTCTTCAGACATCACTAAAATGTTTTGCTTGTTGGGCTGTATTTGTTATCTCAGTTTAAATACATATATACATATATATGTATGTATATATATATTCAGATGGTAAGCTGGAAAAAAATGGCTTGTTGTTACTTTTTCAACTTTGAATGAGAGTGATTTTATTTTGGCAGGAAGGGCATTAAGAGGTAGAATGCCCAGGAGATGTAGCCTATCTAAACACAGAAATTACTTCTGATAGGAAAGAAATGTACTAAATTTCTTGATCAGAACACTACTAATATTCAGGATGCTGAAGCTGGAGCTGAGGTGGCAAGATCAACACTGAGGGCTCAAAACAACCTGAGAGGTTTAAATATGAGTCCTCAGAACAACCTGCTGTTAGAATAAATTAATGCAAATATCCATGTACTCCATTATGTGAATACCTTTCTTCCTGGAGTCCTCTCAATTTCCACAGATATAGGAATTTCTTGGAGAGTTTTTGTAGCCTTTTTTAAATATCCAAAATCAAAATAATCAAGTATATCAGGAGACATAGTTTTATGCACGTGGTGTTTGGCCCTTTGAGAAGATGTTACAGCTGAAGATTCTTAAGATCTTTGCATATGTAGTTAAGATTGTTTGTTCTTTCCCTATAAGTAATTGTTTGCCCAGCAACTTGCTGGGTGCTAATTTTGATACTACTTTTTCCTGGGATTGGCTGCAATTGTTTACTGCTAAACAGCCCAGAACTTTCAAATAATATCCTAACCAGGACCATGTCTTGGAAGAAAGTCTTTTGTGGGCCTTTTCTCGTCTTCTGCTTCACAGGCAATTTGTTCCCCTAACAATCTCAGGTCATTACAGCAGTTGTTCACAGGTAAATTTGTAATGCCTTGAACAGTTTGTAAAATCTTTTACTTGTCTGTTTTGCAGCACATATTGTTTCCCACTAAGTTTTACCCATTGTTAGTGTTTTTCATTTTTTCTTTTGCATTCCTAATTGTTTTGGGTTCCAGACATGCTTTTTCTAGCCAGTGTGCACTTGGGTTTCATGATCCTCTTAGACCTCATCTCTTCCTTTATGCCTCTGTCCAGCTGCAAGGTTCCTTCTTCCCCTTTTCCCATTAGATGATCAGTTCATTTTTGCTGTCATTGTTCTCTTCCAATATAGAATCAATAACCAGTAGGATCAGATGGGCTCCTTCTCCTTCCTTTTTTATCACCTACCCTCTATGCTAGGTAGTCTGTAAAGACAGAATTGGAAACCAAAAGAAAAGGACCCTGCTGATTGTCTGTAAACCTCAGTTCCTATCTCCTTGACTGACTAAAACCAGTCACAATTTTCAGGAAGGGATCCTTTCTTTGTAATTTTTAGAAAAATTTAATTCTCAGAGTGAAAGGGGGTAAATGATGTCTAATGTAGTCTTCTCTTAAGCTGTTTTCCCTTATGACACAGAATTGCTTGCTTTTTGTACAGGCACCCGCTCTTTGGTCGAAATGTCCCCCTTTCCAGTGGATCTGGGTTTATTATGTCTGATTCTGGTTTAATTGTGACCAATGCCCATGTGGTGTCAAGCACAAATGCAATATCAGGGAGACAACAACTGAAGGTACAGCTCCAGAATGGAGATACCTATGAAGCAACCATCAAAGACATTGACAAGAAATCTGACATTGCAACAATAAAGATTCACCCTAAGGTGAGTGACATAATCACAAGAATGACTTCATTTGGGAACTCTATTTCAGTTTCACTTAGTGTACAAAATGATTGACAAGAATATATGTTTAAGGATTTCTTAGAAATATCTGTGGAAAACAATGTACAGAAATACAGGCCTGGAAACTTTTCATATCTTGGAATTAAATTACTTTGTCTTCTGTGCTAGAAACGGTAAAAAACGAAGAAGAAGAAAAAAAAAAGCCACTCATTTCATATGTGGCAAAATTCTGCTATCTTTACCTAAATACCCAGGCTAATCTTTCTAAGCTTTGCACCAGTATGCATGGACTGCAAAGTGGGGCATAATGCAGAGAGAGTGGCAGTCAACAACTGGTCAGTGGTTGGTTTGTATGCTGTTTCTAGGAGGAGGGAACAATCTGCTGGAAAACAGGGCAATTTTGATGCCCTTTTTTCTCAGTGAAATTGCAAGGAACTACAGATAGCTGTTTGGTTTTGAAAACAGTTTAAAACAGCAACCCTCCTATGTTTTGGGTATAGGATAGTGAGTGGCTCTTTCATTAATGTAATGGAAAGTGTTTGCTCCTAACTTTTTGCAAGTTCTTGATCTTTGCAGCCAGGTTATTTTCAGGTATGAACTAATGCTTATTTCTTTCTCTCTTTGTTTACTTAAGAAAAAACTACCAGTATTGTTACTGGGACACTCTGCTGATCTGAGGCCAGGAGAATTTGTGGTGGCAATTGGAAGTCCATTTGCCCTGCAGAACACTGTGACAACAGGTATTGTCAGCACTGCTCAGCGAGACGGCAAAGAGCTGGGGCTGCGGGACTCGGACATGGATTACATCCAGACAGATGCTATCATTAATGTAAGCATGAGATGTGTGATGAGGTTCACTTCACAGCCCCTCCCCACCTATGCAGCATGGAAGTGCCTGCCCTGAGAGATGAATCCACTAAATACAAGCAGCTTTGTTTAATGTCAGTGAAACTCTTCGTTTTTTAAAATCTATGCAGTGTCTGTAAGTTGTGTTCAGGCAGTGCTGTGAAGGGCATGATAAATAAAAGTTCTTGCTTAGAGGTTGTCTGTGAGGATGCTGCATAGCTCAGACCCTTTTAATTCTGTAAATCTCATGCAGGAACATGGTTGTATCAATCAGCAGTAAATGAAAATATTTTTCTATCTGCTTGTTGAGTTGCTCTGGTCAAGGAAGCCATAGAATAGAGCCAAAATTTCTTTCACCTCCATCCATTAGAACCAGATGGAGTAGTCAAACTGAGAGTATGTCCTTCAGCTTAATGGCAAGACTCCTAGGTTAAGAATATAAGGAGAGGACTGGGGGTTTTCTTGTTGTTCTTGTTTTCCCTTTGCACATCACATAATGAAAACAAGAATCAAGGTGTGAAACTATATAAAGTTTCAGCTACAGTTTGGAGCTAAGGGTCTTAGCATTGCATGTTATATAGAAATACGTTAAAATCATGTTCATTCAGAGCAGCTTGAAGTGATCCAAAGAGCTTAAGTGAAGTCCTTGGGTGTGTATTTAGCTTGTACTGCTTCTAAAAAGAGTACTGCACACATCTGAGGTGGAAAATGGTCTGAAATTTTATACCTTAAATCTGTTACACATTGATACAAAATACTTCCAGGATTTATTTGTTGGACTTGAATGTCAAATCTGACATAATAAGAAATAACATGGAGTGTTTTACACACACAAAGTGCTTCACAAATGGTTGTTGTCACAGACTTGTTGAGAGAAATTGTGTGGGGAGGAAAAAAAGAGGATAATTATTTTTTGTGCTAAGATATGACATAAAAGTGAGCTTTTTGAAATAACTTTTGTATGACTCTGGAACTGAACCTCTCCAGACATTTAATTGGAATTACTCTCTTCAGCTGTGCAAGGAGAATAAAAGTAAAACTTAGGCAAGATGGGTTAGTTGGGAGCACACACTGAATTGGTGGCAGAGACGGAATTAAAACATGGGATTCTTGACTACTTGCTTATATACATTTTTCAAGCTCAGACTCCTTCCTTGTGTATGTACTTAGATGTTTGCTGCCCTCCAAAGCTAATGAGCAGGTTTAGAAAAGGATAGCAGAGTGTCAGCTAATGCTGGACCAAAGCAAGAGTGATAGCAGATGAGGTGAGGAAAATGACACTAGGTTTGAATTGCTTTGCCATCTGAGACTACAAAATATGAAGAGATGGTCCCTGGCATAAGGATGCTTTGTGCTTAGCTAATGCACTCGTTTTCTCTTGAGAATGGGAGGAGTTTGAGAGTTGGTCTGTTCAGAGCATTCCTGTGGCTCAGCCAAGACTTTCCTGCAGGAATGTGCATGCAGCTGCCTTTTGAGGAATGCTGGGACAGCAGTAACACAGAGCAGGATAAAACAGGGCCTTAAGGTTCTAAATGGAGCTATATTGCATGTGCTGAAGGTTTTTCACATCCTTCAAGCAGAAGACAAGTGAATGAAAGATGATGTGCTGAGCAAGGCTGGAAAATCATTCTCTTGGTTTCAAGTGTGCAGCCTCTGGTAACTGGAGAGATACAATATAAAGAACTGATCTATTTGTTTAAATTTGGACTCTGAAGCTGTTTTATTAACTTTAATGTCTATTTTATTCTCCTAAGAATCTATAAAGTTTGCCCAGTGCTATCTAAGTATAAACAGTTTGTGTCTCACTTTTCTGTCATACATCACTTAGCTTTTGTTTCTTTTGAGTGGTAAGTTGCTGCTCTTGGCTGTTTTGCAAACCTACTCGAAAACTCTGGCCTCACTCAAAAACAAATTGTTGAGCCAACACGAAGATGGACAAGCAACCTCTCCAGCTCTCATTTCCTGTGGCCCTGTTGCATGTTTCCTTTAAAGGCCATTAGGTATTAAGTAATTTTGGGCTGCTCATTGCTGCTCTATGCCTTCCCTAGAGAGGCATATGTGTCTGTGGTTACTAAATCAATCCTTATGTAGTAGCTACCTCATAGCAATATGCTGTGATTAAATATGTAAAACACTGTATTTTGCTCCAGTGGAGAATGAGAGACTGACAGTGTTACAAACCAAAGTGATGAATAAAACAAAATCTGTAGAAGCACCTCACTGAAGTATAACTTTAAACAACAATTAGTTATTTTAAAACCTTGTTCTGACAGGCTTTGGAAGAATCAAAATACTAGTTTTAGCTATTCAATGTCCTGAATTTAGGGTCTGTCTGTTTGGAGTGGCTGCTAACTTAAGCCTGCTTCTGAAAAGAGAAAAACCTATAATCATGAAAGGGCTGAAGGGGTAGGATAAGACTTACTTGTAATCTTCTGTAATTGATATTGTGTCTGTCAGTCCTGCCTTAAGAAATTACCGCCTCTCTTTCATTTACTTACAAAAAAAGTAATGTTTGTAATGAGAATTCCATTTCCAACAGTGAAATATTAATTTATTGTTCCCTTATGTCATTTTTACAGTATGGCAACTCTGGAGGACCTCTAGTTAACCTGGTAAGTCCATGTCACTTGGTTTTGTTCCAAGAGCTAGTTTCAAGTTAGTAGGAGAACGTTCTTTTGGAAAGATTCATAGCTCGTTCCAGCTTCCATTCATTTAGCTAATGGTAGGCAGATAGCCTGAAGCTAACACAGAATATGGAAATTAAGTCTCAGCTCACACATCATAGGAAAACACTTACCCATTGAGCACAGAAATTTTTACATAGCAGTGAGAAATATGGGATCTGGAAGGAGCAGCTACACTCGTTCATGCTGTGAAACCTGGAATGCACAACAGAGATGAGACCTGGTTAACCCACACAAACAACTCTTTCAAAGTAGATTGCTTTAAATCAGCACTGGTTTTGCAGGTCAGTGACTTGTGACTGTACTGGTAGTAGTGATTCCACTGCCTACTTGGCAGAGGGAATTTCTTGCTGAGTGGTGGGATGGACCTTGGATGAACACACTGTACTCTAATCTCTCTGGCCATCATAGTTAAATGTGAAATGGATCATGAATCAAAGCCCAGATCCTCCCTTATAAGTAGTGTTTATTTCTTGAGTGATTACAACACTCTAAAACTTCTTACTCCAGGTTTTAACATGAAATGCTAGACAGGGACCTGAATCCTGTACTTAGGAACAAATTTAGTTGGGTGTTGTCTCTCAACAGGATGGTGAAGTGATTGGGATTAACACCTTGAAGGTCACAGCTGGAATTTCTTTTGCTATTCCTTCAGACCGTATCACTCAGTTTCTCACAGAGTCACAGGATAAACAAAGTAAAGGTAAGGTCTCCAATGAACAGGGACATCTTCCAATTATTATCCTGATCCAGGTGAAGTGCCAAAACACATGGGTCTGGGATCCTGTTACCGAAAGGAACAGCACCCTTTTCCATTACAGAGCATCACAGACTGGGAAATAGAAAACAATCTCACAGAAGTGGGAGAGACTTTTTATTACTCACACCCCCAAAGAGCAGACAGTATCTGCATAAATATGGGAAATATGACCTCTGAGAATAGTGAGGACACAGATGAATCACCACTGTCTCAAATGATCTTGGAAACAGATGATCACTTGTTTAAGGAGTTTTATTCTCTTCTTTTCATTTATTATCCAAGCAAAAAGATTAAGGTATACTGTAGAAAATGAGGTAAAAACCTTTTTAAGCACCTGTCCACAGGTGAGGTGTAGTCCATAGAACCTGACTTATTTTGTCATGGTCATGTATGTCAGTGCTATATAGTCAGATATTGTGACAGACTCTCAGGCCCTGGTGGAAGCAGGGCTGTTACTGATTCATGAAGAAATACATGGGAAGATGGGAGAGAGGCAGAAAGAAAGAAAGGCTTCTGCATCAGAGAGCATATAAATCTAAGTATATTGGCAATGACAACTGCAGTACATTAGAATTTTTTTTAAGTGCTTGCACCATATCTGTTATCCTGTTCTAGATGTCATACTACAGGCTTCACAGCCAAAGCAGATCTAGCAATGCTGCATCCAGGCCAAACCTTCCTTACTCTTTTGCTTGCCAATTTATCTGTCCACACCCTACTACTCATCTTTTACCATTAGTGTTGGCTGCTGCTGCTTCTTCTCTTGAATCTTTTTGTTATTAATCTTGTCTTCTCCTGAGTTCATCTAGTTCCTAATGCCAGGGTTGTTTCCCTACACCATTGTCCTCTCAGATACTGTTATTTCAGAAACTTCCCTTAGTCAGCAGTTTTAAAGTGATGCATCTGCTTGTATCTATGAGAGCATCACAAACCTGATGGGTCTCCTCATCTGTGTTTTTCTGAATTCCACAAATCATATTGTTTTCACTGTTGAGTTGGGGGCAGGGGGAGGAGTAGGTGAAAAAAGTTGTTAATTGTATGCTGAGAAGTACATTTTAAAGTAGCTGACATAATTTTGTTTCAGTCAACATGTCAAAAAGCTTATTTTTTTCCCCAGGTTACTAACTTGTTGATTTCTGAAACAAACAGATGTCTCATTAGTGATGTTACTCCTTAGAACCAAACTGCTCGTCCCAATCCAGGGAGGAGCAATGGCTCTGCCTGCAGCCCTGGCCTAGAGGCATGAACTCAAAGCCTTATGCAGAGCCTACCATCTCCTGGTAACTGGAAAGTCAGTGAAGCTTAGAGATGTCACCACTGAAATCAGTTACCTTGCTCTTTCAGGTACCTTTACCTCCACAGAATGATGAGCCCAGCTAAGCTTTGCCCATGGAAGAGCCCTAAGAAAGACTGAAAGATTCAAGTCTATACTGTAATTGTAACATACAATTATTTGGGTTTTTTTAAAATCATATTACATAATTCCCTAATCAAAAAGATTCACACTTTCTTTGTGTCATTGTGACTGTCACTGCTTCAAATATTCTGAGGCACAGTCAATTTTATTATGTACTTTATTTTTCTTTTTTTTTTTTTGCTTTTGTTTCTCTGAAGTATGTCTTGTTTTGCTATGGCAGAACAGTCACTTATAGCCCTTGATGCATATTGAAAGTTTCTAGGAGATATTTTCACCATGTATTTGAGACTGTTTGCATTTTTTAGGCCTTCAGTTATAGTTCTCAAGTTTATTGTATAGTCACTATTTTTTGGCATAATCAATTTATGTAAGCAGAATTTTAGGGATGTTTTTATCATGTCTTCTTCCAGTTATGTTTCAGTATTTTCAGTGGGATCCTCCCTTATGGTACAATTAGGTCATAGAAAGATGTTTATGGGTATTGCCATTTTTCTCTTAATATCACATTGTCTAAAGATGATAACACTCCCTTAGGATACCACTCTTTCCAGATTTATTCTGGCATAGTAGATACTCAATTGTTTAATAAGCTGGACCCCTAGTCTTTTAAATCTCAGTTGATCAGATAACTGTTTTGTATAGAAAACATATATTTTTAAAAATCTCATCCATTATATATAACTGCAAATATCTGATCTCTTAAAGAACAGGAGTGGAGAGCTGGGGAAAAGGAGAGGACGTAATTTGAATGAAGAATTTGCACTGATTATTTTATCTATACATTCTATATTACCTAATGCATTGATAATATATGATAGCACCTAATGTATTTCTGACCAAAGATTTGCCAGAGCCTGCATAGGGATATTTATCTGTTGAATAATCTGAAAGCCTTCTCTAATTTTGGGGTTACCAGTAATAAGGTTAATGTCCTTTTATAGTTAGGAAGTCTTAAATTGCTGCATGAAGTGTCTCCATCTGTATCTCAGTTTTAACCAGCTGTGTATTCTGTGTTTACATCTGGAAGTTAACTACATACTTAAGCATTGATTGATTTTTTTTTTTTTTTTTTTTTTAATTTTTAAATTTTGTTTATTTTTATAAGGAATTTCTCCATTTTGGTCTTGGCTCTATCTATTCCTAGTTTAGACTTGAGCAGAACAGTAAAACTAGGACAGGCTTTGAGACTTTTTATTCACAGAGGAGATGTAATGTGACAGTGGTAGTTCCAGGTGCCACATACTGTGGCAATTTGACTTAGCCCCAGCATCACCATGCCTATGCTTTGGGAATGATGGAATACTACTGTGCCTGTAGTCTCTGCTGATAAACTTCATAAAAGATGGAAAATTATATTCCCACTAATCATTATTGCTGAAAACTTTGGTTTGTGTTGAAGGTGTTTGACTTGGGTTAAATTCAGTGGAATGGACTTTAGTGAAACAAAAGGACTGAATTTTTTTTTACTTGTATTCTGACACACAAAATGTCTGGAGAGGGGAAAGAGAGGAGTGTGTACTCTGCTGCTAAAGTAATGCAAGGCTCATAGTTCTTAGTTTTACTTTACATAATAGCCTGCTACTCTTATGTTATGAATTGCTACTTGCAGTATGGCAAACTTACTGTAGAGAGAGGGCAGAGGCCTTTTTGAATTTCAGTGTGTGAACAGGAGTGAAATAAGACTTGCCCAAAGTTGAAGGTAGAATTGGAATTTTAGGAATAAGTCTGTAGTTGCAAGATTTATTTTTTTTTCTCTAGCTTTTTGTTTTTACATGTGTTTAGCCTTTATCTGGGGGAATAATTCCCTTTATCACTAGTATGATTTCTCCTGTGGTTTTTCATTCTTGCTCTTCTGTTTCTTCCAAGTCAGTTTCTTTTGTCTCTTCTTTAATTTTCATTTTTCATTCATGTAAACATTCCTAACTCAGGCTCTGGAGTATCTTTGTGTTTCTGCAAATTTCTGCCTCACAGATGATGACCAGCATCAAATTGTTTAATGTAAAGAGAAAACTGTCACCAGAGATGCTGTCACTGATCTTATGAAGGGAATGTTGTTATTTAACTGTCCACATTTATAGATAAGGGGCTTATTTTCAGGTGGGAGAATTATCATTTCTGTATATTTTTAAAAAGTGAAAAACTGCATTTCTGCCATGAGAACTGGAGGAGCACCATGAGCTAGTTCATGGCCATGCCCAAAGCTCTTCAATCTTCAGATTTGAGCAATTGAACCTCTTGACACTCTTACTATAGCTGATTTTGATCTTGCTAGTTTTACTTTAAAATAGAGGAGACCCAAACATTTCAGGGTAAAGTAAGGAAGACAGTTACAGATGCAAGATTTTTCAGAGTGCAGTAAATCCAATGTTTAGTAGTCAACATTTTCAGTGACCCCAGTGGGAATATTTGGCATGTGTAATATTCAGAACTAAGTCCTTTGCTTGGGACTATTTTTCTGGGAAAGAATAAGAGCTAGGGAAGACTCTGTACATCTCCTTTTTCCTCGTATGAGAACCTGGAGAAACTCAAAGATCTTGTGAAGTCATTGTGCTGAAACAAGTACGGAGAAATATTGTTTTGTGCCGGATGTAACTGAGTACTGCAGCGCTCACTTCAGGAAGTCATCAAACTGCATTTTTTTCAGAAGACAGCTGTGCAACATCATGACTTACTAAAAGCCAACTTCAGAAATGTGATGTTCTTCCTAAAGGAGTGACTCCTCACCATAAAAATTCCACAGAATCCTGGCGAATAACAGAATTATAGAAGAGTTTCTATTGGAAGGGACCTTTGAAGGTCATCTAGTCCAACCCCTCTGTACTGATCAGGGACACCTTTCATTACATCAGGTTTCTCACAGCCCCTCCCAACCTGACATATGGAGTGTTGACAGCTGAGGCATCTACCACTTCTCTGGGCAGCATGTTCCACTCTCATCATAAAAAATTCTCCCTGATACCTACTGCCAATCTACCCTCTTTTAGTTTAAAAGCATTAGCCTTTGTTTTGTATTATAAGCCCCCTTCAAATACTGAAAGACCTAAATAAGGTGTCCCTGGTGCCTTTTCTTCTCTAGGCTGAACAACCCCAACTACCTCAGTCCATCTTCATAGCAGAGGTGTTCCAGCCCTCTGAGTATTTTTGTGATCATTTTGAGAAAGGTCTACATGTTTTGGGTTTTTTTTTACTTGTTTTTCATTCTTTGGGGTAGAAATAGCAAACCATTTGCATTATAATCAGTGATTTTGATTGACCTTTCTCTGAAAAATGGAAGTTTTAATTTGTTTAGATTCCATTTCTACATTTTAATGAGAATATCATATGATTAAATTGTCTTGACCAGTTTCAGTAGTTAGTTATGAAATTTTCCATTTACTGAATTCATGTGAGACTAGATCACAGCAACTTCCTGAATATTCTGAATGAAAAACTCAGAGTGTAAATGAGCTTTCTCTCTTGCCCTTAGTTGCAGGGGGAAGGATTCTGTACACCAAGGCTAATAAAAAAAAATTAGTACACATGTGCATGTTTTTGTTTAGTTTTGCTAAAATCTGATAAATTCTGTTAATTTTCATGTATTTTGGGTCATCAGAGCAGTTATTTTTGTCAGTGTTTGTCTAAATTTCTTAAATATCCTCTGTGTTCCTTTCAGATGGGAAGAAACGTTTCATTGGCATCAGAATGCTCACAATAACACCTGCGTAAGTATCCTAGAAAAGTGATTGCATGTTCATGCACACAAGATGTGCTCAGTAGTGGTTCAGAACATCATTCATCTTTCACTGCAAATCTCCAGAGATCTAGAAGTGGGCATTGGCTTCTAGCCAATCTGCAGGCATTTAAATGATATAGGTGAAATCTATATTCTGAGACCTGGGAATTCTCTAAATACTGATAGTGGTGGATGTTCTGCTGATAGCTGAGGGAAAATAGAAGAGCTTGAACACAGATTTTGGTTCTTGACAAGGACACCTGGAGTTACACCAGGTTTTAGGTGACATTTAAACAAAATGGTGCTTTCAGGTGACTCTGAGTGCCACTGACAGATCAGCTGATGGAAGGTTTGGTGGTGTTTTATCAGTGCCAGTGGAAGCCATATGGTGTGAGGTTTGGTTCCTAACCATTAACTAGAAAGAGTCGCTAAAGTTCCAAACGAAAGCTTTGTGCCTCCGTGTTAACAAAGCCAGAAATGGACACCCTCCTCTGGCTCTTTGCTGTGTTTTCCCCTCTTACGTTGCTTTGTGTCTTGCTGTTACCCAGATATATTCTTGGATAATAAATGAGGGCTCTTATGCTGATGTTCTTTCCCAGCAGTAGGCATGTTTCCAATGTGGCAGTAGACTGCAAAATTAAACAAGACAATTTCCAGCTGGGGTTGTAGTAAAGCCATCCTTTTTTCTTGAGTTACACTCCTGCAGTCCTCCCTGAAGGGTCAGATCTTCAGCTGGAATGAATCAGTGTAATGGCAATAACATCACTGATGGAGAGAAACTCAGGATGTTTCTCTGCAGAATTGTGAACACAATGTGAGATTTTACTGCTTTTGGAGCATCTAAGGAAGCCATGTATGATGTCTGCAGGCGTGTTTTCAGAAAAAGATCACTTCCCTTGTGATGTTTGTTTTAATTATTCAATTTTTAGCTTCCTCAGTACTAAATCAAGTGAAGATAAGCTATGTAGCCATTTTGCTTTCCAGGTTTTTCATGGTAGACAGCTCAGTAATCTATCCTTGTTTAAAATCTTCCTTTTTAGAAATGGGTATTAACCCACTCTGTAAACAGATGTCATCACTGAAATGATGTCATCATCTCTGAAGTGAAGATGTTTGTAGAGAGTCTATTTTGCAGTGGGTTCCTGTCTTCTTTAGAAACTGATGTGCAAAAAATTGCTGATGACAACTTGTGGAAACTGATGTTTCCAGCTCTGTCTTCTCTCTGGAGTTATCAAAAAATCTATTGTTCTAGATAAAGACAAATTAAGAATGACTTGCAAAATAAGAAAAAAAAACAAAGTTAGCAAATTTATGCCCTGTCACCAGCATTAATTCTTTGGGCAGAAGAACCTTTTGTCCCTGAGAGTGCTCTTGTTGTGCTCATGAAAAAGGCCCTGTGTGCTACTGCTACAAAGAGCCAAAGTCAAATTCTTGCAGGAGATGTAAAAGACCATTAAGTTTAGCATGCTTTGCACAGGTAAGGAGTTTTGCCTCTCTTAAAATATATGTAATTTTTTAAAATCCAGGTTCAAATCCTCTACCTTTTCATCACACAAGAATAGGCAAATGATTAATTAAGCCTTTCAATTTTGTCACCAAAAGCTTAAATAAATAAGAATATACACTTTCGTAGTGCAATCAAATTCTGTATAACTTTGTTTTTCTTTTAGCTTGGTGGAGGAACTGAAGCACACTAATGCTGATTTTCCAGATGTCAGAAGTGGAATTTACGTACACGAAGTTGTTCCAAACTCACCTTCTCACAGGTAGGTAGAGCACATTGTTTTCTTCACCACAAATAAACTTCCAAAGAGATACTAGAAGGTAATACTTCTTTTTCTATTCAAGTATTTTCTCATACCAGGCTTGATCTATATTTAAGCAATTAAAAATTGTGCCTTTTGGTTTAAAATATTTGTTCTAAGATTCTGCTCACCTCTATAAAAATGAAGCATTTCAAAACTATTTAAGTTATAGAATTGTTTAGTTTGGAAATGACCCTTAAGATCAAGCCTAACTATGAACCTGGAACTGCAAGGGCTACCAGTAAACCCTATCCCTAAA